TATATTTTTTTTTTTTTAAGAAAAATCTAAAATCACTAACTCAACCATCCAACTTAAGACACTGGACACAAAAGAGCAGACTGAGCCTAATGCAATTAGAAAGAAGGAAATAAATATAAAACAGAAATTTATAATGTAAAAGCAGTAGAAAAATTAACAAAACCAAAATTCTGTTCTTCGAAAATGTTAACAAAATTGCAAACCTAATAAAAATCACTAAGGGGGAAAAAAGAGAGGATTTAAATTATTAGAATGATAATAAACAAGGTAGTTTTCTACTGACATTAAGGAAATAACATGGATTGTTAAGAAACACTCTGAAATATATATATATATATATATATATATAAATTAGATAATTTAGATAAAATAAGCAAATTCCTAGAAAGACACAAACTACCAAAATTGACTCTAAAAGACAGAGAAAAATCTGAATTGCCTTCTAACAATGAAAAGATGTATTATTTATTTTAAAACAATCAAAGTAAATCCTAGTTTCAGGTTGACTATATTCCAAGACAGATAACAATTATCTCAGAAATGCAAAGTCAGTTTAATAGCCCCAAATCAATTTATATAATATCAGTGGAACAAGGAACTATAAAATGCACAGTCATCACAACTTTTATTCAGTATTGTAGTAGACATTCTAGCGAGGCCAACTAGGCAAAAAGAAAGAAAAAGAAAGAAATACAATTAGATAGAAAGGAAGAAGTAAAAGCTTCTATAGGGCATGGTCTGCTTTACATATAAAACCTAAGGCAAATTTTAAAAACTAGTACTGTTTGCTAAAAACTATTTCACATTACTTAAAACAAGTTCATCAAGACTGCAGAATACATCAATATATAAAATCACTTCTATTTCTCTATACTAGCTCTAAACCATCTGAAAATAAAATTAATAAAACTATGTCATATATAAGACAGGAGCAAAAACAATGAAATATGTAAGAAGACATTTAACCAAAGAAATGGAGCATCTACATGGGAAGTATAAAACATTGAAATAAAGCAAAGATAAATAAATGGAGAGATACCCCAAGTCAAGGATTACAGTAATTAATATAAATAAGATACCAACATTCTCCAAATTGATCAAACAATTCAATACAATCTCTATCAAACTCCTAGGTGGATTCTTTCTTGGATTGATAAACTGATCATAAAATCCTTATGGAAATTCAGGGGATCCAGGATATAGCCAAAACAATCTTGAAAGACAACAAATTCGGGGCATTCACATTTCCTAATTTCAACACTACAAAGCTACAATAAGAAAAAGCAGTGGGTAACTGTAGACTTATAGATAAGTGGAATAGAATTGAAAATCCAGATATACACCCTCATATTTCTGGTCAGTGGAGTTAAAAGAGACCTAAGATAATCCTATGGGGGAATGGTGGTCTCTGGGACAACTGGACACCCACCAAACATGCAAAAGAATGCAACTGCGCCACTCTCCCACAAATACAAAATACTCTAACTACATTACAGACCTGTGTAAGAGCTAAAACTATAAAGCTTTTAAAACAGAAGAAATAAATTGGACTTCATCAAAATTAAAAACTTCTGTGATTCAAATAGGTTATCAAGAAAGTGTAAAGATAACCCCAGAATGGAAGAAAGTGTTGCAAATTATTTATTTTGGAAGAGTCCTGTAACCCAGTTATATAAAAAAAACTCTTACAGCTTAATAAAGCACAAAACTCAATTAAATAATGATAAGAGCTTGTAAATAGATATTTTTTCAGCAAATGTGTACAGCGGGCAGTACACATTTAAGAAGGTGCATAGTAACAACAACCACTAGAGAAATGGAGTTCAAGTCACAATGAGGCAGGACTTCATGCTCACTAGGATCGCTATGTATTGACATATAGTAATTGTTCATATGTACGGAGTACATCTGTCACCTCAGACATTTGTCATTCTCTTTGTATTGGAAACATTCAAAATCCTCTCTACTAGCCATTTTGAAATGTTTGATTAAGTCTTATCAACCGTACTAAAGGATAGATATACTTTAAAAGAAAGATTAACATTTTGGTGAGGAATTAGAGGTACTAAAACTCTCATAAGTTGTTGTTAGGAATGTAAAATGGTATGGCTACTTTAGCAAAAGAAATTGGCAGTTTCTGAAAATATTAAAGATGGAGTTATATGAGACTGAGCAGGAAATAAGATGGGGCATCCACACAACAACTTCTACATGAATATTCATAGCAACGTTACTTGTAATAGCCAAAAAAAGTAGAAAAAACCCAAATGTCTATCAGCTGATGAATGGATCAACAGAATGTGGCTCATCATCCAAAGAAATATTCATCCGTGAAAAAGGAGTAAAATAAATCCTGCAACAGGAACGAACCTTGCAAGTATGCCAAGTGAAAGAAGCCTGTCACTAAAGATCGCATTATTGTATGATGCCGCTGGTATGAAATTCCAGTACAGGAATATCTATAACGACAGAAAATAGATAAGAGACTGCTGTGCTATGACACTGGAGAAAAACAAACAGTGGCTTCCAACTGGTTGTGGAAATTTTTTGGAGGGTTTTAGGGTGGAGAGGAGTGAGGAAAATGCTCTAAAGCTGATTGTACCAATGGTTGCATAAATCTGTGAAAATACTAAAACATAAAGTTTTATACTTCACTTGGACCTATTTTATACTGTTTAGAGTATATCTTACTAAAAATGTTTAAAAATTAACTTCCTGGAAAAACTTGCTGAGAGAAGTTTTAATTATACATTGATACTGGATAAAAATCATATGTAAATCTAAGACGGAGGTAATTTGGAGATTTAAGTGAAATTTCCATTAAATGTTATTTATTTCTGGCTTGTATGTCAGGATTTGTTACTTTTTTCTTCAAACTTTATTCTTCAAAACATTTAAATTTAGGGGCTGGGGATTTAGCTCAGCGGCAAAGCGCCTGCCTGGCAAGCGCAAGGTCGTGAGTTCGGTTCCCGGTACCGGAGAAAAACCAAAAAAAAAAAAAAAAACATTTAAATTTAAAAAGTGAAAAAAATCAAAATGGGAGAACATTCCACTATGTACCAGGATATAAAGAATTTGATTCATTCTTTAAATATTTTTAAAATGAGACTCTTGTACTTAACATTTTGTGAACATAATAAAAATATGTTTCATTCCAGAGATCTCTGCCTATTTTGAACCTGGCTCCTCAATGACCTACAATTTTCAAGAGCATTACACCTTAAGCAAGAACACCAGCTCCTTGACGGCTTCTTCGCTACAAAAGGATATAACATTTTCCAGAGAAACCATCACGCTGAGCTTCCAGACAACAGGGACTCCGAGCTCACTGCTCTATGTGAGCTCCTTTTATGAGGAGTACCTTTCAGTTATCCTGGCTAACAATGGTGAATATCTTTTGTCTGAAAAAGAGGAAAAGAAAGACACTCTGAATTAGAAAAATGGCAGGGAACTATTACGATGGTCATAATTTAGATCTGAGTCCTGAGTTTTCTTATGTGTGACTTAAATCTTTTCATTTGGTAAAAATTTTGGAAGGTGACTTATCATCAGTGCATTAGACCTTGACTTTTAAAAGCAGTAAAACTGTACTCAGAGTTTGGCACTAGAATAGCAGTTAAGTTATCACAGTTCCAGAAGAGACAGGTTGGGATGACAGCATGCAAGTCATCGCTAAACAGATTCGAAAAGATATTAAGCAAATAATGGTAAAAGTGGATTAGAAACTGCACTGAGAGTTTTCGAAAAGACCATTTTAATTTACATATATTTGCAATACATAATAATCACATTCATCTGAGGAAACTGGTACATATATATTGCATCTTAAACATTTTTATTTCCCCTTTTAATTTAAAATGTCAATTATTTTCCTCTTTAGGAAGTTTGCAGATTAGGTACAAGCTAGACAGCTACCAAGATCCAGATGTTTTTAACTTTGATTTTAAAAACCTGGCTGATGGGCACCTTCACCAGCTGAAGATCAACAGAAAAGAAGCAGTGGTCTCTGTAGAGGTAACAGCAAGCACATACACAAAATAAAGAGTCAAAGTAACTATAAATGTGAGGCTGAGAACAAGTACTTTAATGCAAATATCTGATAATGAGAGTAACCCATTCTGGTCAGGGACAGAAAGCCAAAAAGAGCCAGGAGTTGGGTTAAGGGGCTGTTGGTATTTATTTTGCTTTTTTGTAAAGCAATGATTCTGTTCAAGTTATTATTATTTGTTGGTATTTTAAGATGTGATGATCTCCTTTTTGTTTTACTTTATTCAGTAGGGAAATGGTGTGTAGTTCATCATGGTAACTACTGGTGACATTTGTCAATTGGTATTTCAATGGGAACCTATCCTCATGAGATTATAAAACAGCTAACACAGCAGTTTGAACACAAGGTTAAAAAGTGTACAAGACACTCATTGTCAAAGGAGTAAATAAGGAAATAGACTTAAGTCAAAAAAGAGTAAATTATCACTGGCATTTGAAGGAAAATATATGCTAAATCTGTACATAATGCGATATTTTTGATTTTATGTGTCAAGTCTCCTCCAAGGAAAAATATTTAAGTTGAAATAAGCTGCTTCTATCTCTTTGTGAATTCTGCCAGTTACAGCTACAGTATGGAGAAGAGTAAAGCAGGTAAAAGGAGTAGGTACTGGGGGGTGTCAGGGTGATATTCGGAAGATCACTTTTCCCTTCTAAATATTGTTTAAAGACGATTTATTTAAAGCTTTGCTGTAGCACCGGTAACTAGTGATTTATTCTTGTCATTGTTTCCTAGTCTCCCTCTGCTTTCTTATCATTAAAATGGTGCCTTCTTTTCATGTTCATTCCCCATGCAACATGTTATAGGTTAACCAGAGTTCAAAGAGAGAAGTCATATTGTCATCAGGGACGGAATTCAATGCTGTCAAATCCTTGGTGTTGGGAAAGGTTTTAGGTAAGTGGAAGAAAGAGCTCTCCCCCAGAAGCCGTCAGATGTGAGTGTCATGTCACAAATGCTAAAAGCATTCATTATGCTGAAGGAAGCTCCTTGTCTTATTTTAATAATAATTTTACAGTGAGTGACAATCAAGGTACAAATTATACTCTTGTCAGAGTGCACATATAATCATGAGTAAGTGCTCCCTGAAAGACGCTTGGCACTTGCCTTCCCACCTGGCAATCATGTACAATGAGTTACGGTATTTTTCTAACACTTCTTGAAAAGTGAGACCTTACCAAAGCAGACACAGAGTTTCAGCACAACTCCAGAGACTTCCTATTCAATGATAAAACTACTTTTGAGTGAAGACAAGAAGAAATATTCATTTCCTTCCACAGATGGATATAGCTGGAACTCTGTTCCAAATCCTGCATGGCCTCATATTTTCTGTCCTTGAGGAGTCTAAACAGGGGAATTAAGATGTGTTTATAAATACCCATTACTCAGGCAGAAATGTGCAGTAAATGTCCGTGATATTGACAGGGGAGCATTTCCAAAATTTCAGCTCAACTTTAAACTTAATGTTATAGTAACCAAAGAAAACAATTGCTCTGTAAGGATATATACCCATCTTATGTCAATCAACTAGGATGATGAATTTTATTATTTAAACTGTGAAGAGGATCAGAAATTAAAATAATAATATGCATTATATAAATTTGTTTCCCTTCAAATAAATAAGCACATAGAAGATGTTAATGTTTTTATTCAAGGAAAGTATACTGAAAGGTATGTAATTTAGGTTATAAAAATTTATGTTCAAACTGAGCAACGAAGTATATGTAGTTTAAAGCACCTGACCTCAAGATATTACAAACACTCATTTTGCCTATGCCTAGAGGTAGAAATAATAATGAAAGATTAATTAAAAACTTCATATTTTTGATAACGATATTTTAGGATGGTTTCTGCAATAAGCTTTTTTGCTACTTTCAGAATATTTAGTAATTATATCAAAATTATAATTTTGTATTTAAATTTGGAATTACATAAGTATTTTTATTCCTTCAACTTATTAAAATAGACTGACAAGTTAGCTAGTAGAGAAGCTGCTAATTTTCCAAAGAAAGTTACCCAAAACTTCAGGGGTAAGTTATCGGTATTGATTCTCATAGTCCCTGTGAATCACTGGAAAAGATTTGGTGAACATTCACTAGGTACACGGTATCTTCCTCAGCTGGTATGTGACTGATGGCCAGGTATGCCAGACTTGGCAAGGTGATTCATTGCCTTCAGATTTTCCTTCTTTAACAAAAGTATATCTGGTGATCATTTTCTATGTAATCATTTATTGAGGATGTGGGGAAGCTCTATTCCTACCACATCTAAAATAAATGATTGTTTAGTATTAATATTCAGCATTTGTAAGAGGAAAGCTCCCCTAAAATTTTATACCTCTTCTTTGAAATAGGACTATTTAATGCAAAATCACCTTGTAGTATATCAAACAAAAAATATTCTGACTATAAAAGAGTAAGGCAGAATTTATTCAGGAGTATCACAATATGTTTCAGAAATTCCAAAATGGATTTTTGCAGGAGAGGAGGGAGATTGGGCTCAACTTAAAATACAAGAAGGAAAAGTGGATACTTCTATCAAGGACATGGTGGGGAATGGTGAGGATGGAAAATTACTAAGAGGTTAGGGGTATACTTATTAAACTGACCTAACAGGATTCTTGGTGAAGACAGGCCAGGCTGACTAGACATTATCAGGAGGATAGCGAGGGACAAGCAGGGTGGTTACAGCCCACTGTGGTAGCACATAGCAGTAATCCTAGCACTCACCCTGGGAGGCTGAGGCAGGAGGAGCTCAAGTTTGAGTTTTCAAAAGAATTTAGAAGGGATGGGAATGTGGTTTAGTGTGAAGGCCCTTGGGACAGTACACAGACTCACACGCACACAGAAGTGGCTAGATATTTGGAAAGCAGGGTTCTTGTTAAATCAGATTCAACAAGATTCCTGCTATGTCTAGTGCAAACCCCAAAAGTTGGGGCTAGTTGAAAAGAGGGCTCAGAGAATTCTAACTCAAGTTTGGTCAAGGGAACCTACGTTTGGTCTGACTGAAGTTTGCCAGTGGTATTAAAGCTCTTAGGTAAACAACTACTTATATAAAGATTCTTAAAACGGAAGAAACATAATAGAAAAATACCTAAATGTACAGTGAAATGGTGGTTCTGGTCAGGAGCTAAGTGTACTGGAGTCAAACCAAAGGGTGGAGAAGGAAAGGGGGGAAGTTGAGAGAAGGAAGAAGTGAGCCATTTCCCAGCTGGTGGACAGGCTTGCTGGGAAGAGCATTTCCTCTTTTCATATAACACTGTAACAGAAAGCTGTTGGTGGCGAGTGCTCTCAAACTCCCAAAAGGATAAAGGGAAAATAAGAAAACTAAGCCAACGACCAAAAAGGAAAAAGATGAAACAATCACGTTAAATAAATAGTATAAGATCAAAGAAATAAGATCAGATATAGAGGTTGTTACTCTAAATGTGAATGGACTAAATTCTGTCAAACTAGGTTAAAAATGGTCGAATGCTGTAATGATACTGCGTAAGAATGAATAGGCCAAGAACTTGCAAAGGCTAATCAGTTTAAGAAACGCAGCATTACTATCAGACAAGGTAGAGTTTAGGTTGAGAAGAATTGCACGAGAAATTATGTGGCCATAAAAGCTGCAGCTTATAAAGGGGATGTGAAAGTCACAAGTCTAGCTGTATTGTGAAGAAAGTAGCAGTTTAATAAACTAAGCAAACTCAATTAAAATTTCTAGAGCTCCTGTCCTTATGGTCGGTCAGGAGTCACCTCCTATAAGTCCCTGGATTATTGGGTGTGTGTGTGTGTGTGTGTGTGTGTGTGTGTGTGAGAGAGAGAGAGAGAGAGAGAGAGAGAGAGAGAAAGAGAGAGAGAGACATAATATATGTAATATATATAATACATTATGTATTTTAATCATCTGTCTTTTAAAAAAATGAATATAGATGGATTTAGGTCTTAGGATCACTCCGTACAGTTCTGCTGTGTACTAAGCAGCCCTGTGCCCTAGAAACCACCACACCTAACAGCGCGGGCAGCTGCCTGCAGAGACGGGTGATCGGCGTCCCAGTCCCTGTCCCTCCGCCCTGACCCGCCCTCCTGTCCCCGCAGGCCCTCCCGGAGCAGACCCGGACACGCGGCGGGCGGCGGCGCGCGGCTTCACCGGCTGCCTCTCGGCCGTGCGCTTCGGCTCCGCGGCTCCGCTGAAGGCGGCGCTCGG